CGGTTAAGAGGTTTGTGGTAACCTTGTATCTGGAGAATGTATTCTGACAAGGTTTAGAGGTTGGTAGTTACCTTATATCTGGTGAATGTATTTTGACACGGTTTAGAGGTTGGTAGTTACCTTATATCTGGTGAATGTATTTTGACACGGTTTAGAGGTTGGTGGTTACCTTGTATCTGGAGAATGTATTTTGACACGGTTAAGAGGTTGGTGGTAACCTTGTATCTGGAGAATGTATTCTGACACGGTTTAGAGGTTGGTAGTTACCTTATATCATGAGATTGTATTCTGACACGGTTAAGAGGTTGATAGTTACCTTGTATCTGGAGAATGTATTCTGACACGGTTTAGAGGTTGGTAATTACCTTATTTCTTGAGAATGTATTTTGACACGGTTTAAAGGTTGGTAGCTACCTTGTATCTGGAGAATGTTTTTTGACACAGTTTAGAGGTTGATAGTTACCTTGTATCTGGAGAATGTATTTTGACACGGTTTAGAGGTTGGTAGTTACCTTGTATCTGGAAAATGTATTCTGACACGGTTTAGAGGTTGGTGGTTACCTTCTATTTGGATAATATATTTTGACACTGTTTAGAGGTTAGTAGTTACCTTGTATCTGGAGAATGTATTCTGACACGGTTTAGAGGTTGGTAGTTACCTTGTATCTGGATAATGTATTTTGACACGGTTTAGAGGTTGGTAGTTATGTTGTATCTGGAGAATGTATTTTGACACGGTTTAGAGGTTGGTAGTTACCATGTATCTGGAAAATGCATATTCTGACACGGTTTAGAGGTTGGTAGTTACCATGTATCTGGAGAATGCATATTCTGACACGGTTTAGAGGTTGGTGGTCACCTTGTATCTGAAGAAGTTGTTCTGATACGATTTAGGAGTTGGTGGGTACCTGGTCTCTGGATAATGTATCATTAAAATGTTAACACCAATCATTTTAATCTATCTTAAAATTATATCCGTAATAGCGTGTCACAAATAATTTTCAAACCCGAACATTTTAGATTTTCTGATTTTCACTAATTAGAGTGACAGTGGATATATCCAACACTTTAGTCGATTTATGCACGAAGATTGCTACAGATTGGGAAACATGTGTCAATATTGATAATAATACATTTCCAGTTAGTATAACTATACAAAAGTGTTCATGATATTACATCACTACATCTGGGTGTTTATAAGTATGTCAGGTGATCAGACTAAGAGGGGATATGTAATATACATGCATTAGAAACATAGTTAAGGGAAACAAGACTCCTGATCGTTATTGTTATGCTTATAAACTCTTTTGGAAAAGGGAAAATGTGCGGAAGGCTCGCCTAGAGTGAGCATTATAAATATACTCAAAACAACAAATAATTGTTTGAAGGGTGGGGCAAGGATGGAATATGATAAACTATCCAACAAACTCATAAACATGCAACATGCCAACAGAGAAAATAAGGAATGCAGTAAATATTCTTAAAAGTAACAAATCTTCTGGCACTGAAGGTGCAACAGCATATAAAATATATTGGAACACTATCAAAGCGGAATTTAAACAAGTCATAGAAAAAATATTTATAAGCAATGAAATGTCAGCTGCCCAATAGGGAGGCGTACCTTGGTGTACAAAATATGAGAAGGAAACTGATGTGAGACATATCACATCATCAAACCCAAACAGTGAAATCCTTACACAAACATTAGGACACGACAATATACAAGTATTGCCAAACACCATGCACTCGATCAAAAAGGAGTCAGGAAATAATAAAAACAACTATGTTTGTTTTTATCATCCCTCTTTAATTGTGAGTATGCAATGAAAATGTTGGGATATTAAATAAAAAAACGTGTAAACTAAAAATTGATTTGTAAAAAGAAGAAATATTGTAGGATGAAAACGATCATTATAGGAACACTGAAGTGCTCACACAACTAAATCAGCCAATCAGCAAGTGTTTATAGTTCCTACCTAAAATGAGTTCCGGCTATTTACTGGGCCACTGAGGAAGTTCAATGAGGAACGGAGGGTAGATTATTGGATGAATAAAATGTACAGGTATTTAAATTTTGAAAAAATGAATACTTTTGATTTTGTATTACCATGTCTGTGTGCGGATTTGCAAAGAAAAAAACCCTAGGGGCGTTTCTGTTTTGGGTCACCGGTTTTGCTTGTAAACTTCCAGTTGTCACTCTCTGGACTCTGCGAAATTATATGCCATTAAACTTGCCAAAGAGTCATTTGTAGCCTTTGTCAGTTATGTATCTATGAATCTAGACAGTTGTCACTGGTGTTGAACTTCAAACATTGAAGTTGAAATGTTTAGTAATAACATAAAGTAAATGATTTTGTTGTGTGAGTCCTGAATATAGCGATGATCAGGTATAGAAGGGAGGACTATTACACAGCTAGATAAAGGAATTGACAGAGTAGAATGCAGGTGGTAAAAATCATCTGATTGTTTGTTATAATAGAAGCTAAATAATCACTAGAAATATAAAGCGGTTAAATGTTAAGTAACTTTAAAATAAAGTGTGATTTAGAAAATATTATATATATATAAAAAAAAACAAATGACACGAGTTTCCTAGTACCCCCCAATTTATAATTCCAAAAAAACCCACCTTCATGCTGGAGAGATGCGTGGGATTAATAGATAGTAAACAAAGTCCTTGGTTTGTTATGGGGTATTCGCCTTGATAGACGTTAACGTTATCTGCACGAGATGGGCAATTATCTTTGTACCTTTATAATAGTGCTTCAGTTTCTTGGACTATGCTAATATAACATCTATTTAAGGTATGTTATTTGGAGTATACTCTTAAAAACGAAATAAAGTGCGAAATAAAAAAAAACATGTAGGTTACTATAAAGAACGGGAAAGTTCACGACCGCAGATTCAAAATCATCCCACTTATCGTACAGGTTTTTAGGTAACCGTTCCCGTTGTTCATGTGATAAATACACATTTCGGAAAGAGGCTGGAATTGAAAGTTCTATGAAGTCCTTGATTTAATGTTCAAGAGGGTATGTACGATCGACTTTTTTCATTGCCACAAAGAAAAGACGACATTCCACCCAACAGAGTTACCCTCTTCATCAGAGAATGGCACTGTTAAGTAGTGAGATAGACGTTGCATATATCTTACGTTTTTCTATATCTTGTCAAGAAAAGGAATGCATTCTTCCACTGATAATTGTGTTTAATGAGTTCTTGCCTATTTTACTGTTCAGTCTCCTATTATAAGTTTTGACAACACCCATAACGTACGAAAACAAATGTGATTCAAAGTCTTATATTTTATTTTGTAAATTTAGTGTAAACGGTAATTTATTTAATACTTTGACGCAATTATGGTAAATATTTTCATGACAGAGGGATAAGGACCATCGTGATGTACATTAAACATTATAAACTTGGAGAGGTAAAAATAGAAAATAGATGTTTCATGTCGCAAAGCATGTTTTTAACCCGATTCTACTTAACATGGTGAAAAGTTAAAATTAGTGTTCAGGAGGGTACGTACGATTGACGTGGTCAATACATTTATTGTTTTTTAAAGACAACACATCGCCGACTTGGCTAGGTTTTAGTCACAAGTCCTGATAAACTTTATTATCATTAACCTAATAATTTATGCTAAAAAAATATTCAATTTGGATTCAATTATTATATTTAATATTGTTAAAATTGCACCACAGTAAGTAAAGGTTTGCTTATTTTAGCAAATGACGTTATATCAAATTGTACCGTTTTCGTATTATCACTTCGCTCAGGGTTAACAATCAAGCTCAGCGGTTCCCGATTCAATTCCTAATCCCACGAGTCTGCTCAATATCCGACAATCAGATAATTACCTGCAACCACATCATTATCTACTTAAAAGGGTCAAAATATTGTCAACGGAATGATAACGTCATTCAACGATACACAATTAGTGCTAATAACAGTTCTTATTTAACTGTAGGTTGAACAATTAACACATTGAATTTGTTTATGTAATGGTTAGGGCCTAACTACTTCGTTCACTACAGTCCTCGGATTGATGACTTTTACAGAATTTGTCCGGATGGTACAGGTGCAACTATTTCTGTATTTTTTGTGATGCGGTATGACATTGGCATTTACACCATCAAAATCTCTACAGTCAGTGCACACAGTGATAATTGGAAGATATACATGTGCTGAGGTTGTCTATGCTGATATAATCAGTGCCGCCCGATAGTTCTGGATTTTTTTGTCCCTCAGTTTTTCATTGGGATAATGATCAATCCAGATGCCAAGTTATCGCTTTTGCCACTATATCGTTTAAGTTTGATTACATATCAGACCTCACACATACTCGAATCTCATCGTCTGTACGGAATATGTTACAGGTAAATTTAGTTATAGATAATATAAGCTCATTGAACATTAAGTAAGTGTAAAGCTGTGAAATCTAAATATATATTTAATTTATAATAATGTCATTTATTTGTGTATTCTGAGTCTACTATATTAGCCGAATAAAAAGAGTGTAAGTTTATATATTATTCTTATATTGGTGTATATCAGAAACGTTGGATCCCCGTATCAGTTAACTATACATTTGATGTTTCCCTTATTAATATAGCTAAACTTTCAAAAAACATTTAAAAAAGAAACTTATAGGATACGGGACTTTAAAAGGACATTTTAGGAGTTATTAATCATTGAAATTGAGAGAAAAAAGAAACCGGGCTTCTCTCAATTGATGGAACAATATTATGTTTGAAATGTAAAAGTTAAAACAATCCTCAATATCTTTGCATAAACTCATTTATTGCGCGGACGTATATATTCACTCGTGCGCTCCGCGCACTCGGGAATATATTCGTACGCGCAATAAACTCGTGCTTTCTGATTCGGTAGAAAAACACAAGTGCGTGGTCTTGTATATGTCTTTAATGTAAAGCAAATACTTCGTGTATTCATGCGATTGAATCTCCCTTGAAATGAATAATAACACACAAAAAATATATAAAATAGTTTTTATTTTTTTCTTAGTTCTCATCACAGTGCAGTCGCGTATTCACGTATCAACACACATAGCACGTATAACAAGGGCGAAGCACTAACCACAATTATACGTTTCATTATCGTAATGGTTTTGAGGACGTGACATCCGGGCGGTAACAAGAGCGGGTTGTCACGGAAACGGAATAAATTGGATACAAATCATGTAAATCATACAAAACTTTTTTTTAAAAATATGAATCATAACGAAAATGATATGAAAGCTGGTTTTTGTTCGAGTACTAGACAAGTGCTATTTTCTCAGCGGGAATGAGTAATGGAAAAGGAATAATGAATATAGAGAGGATGGCAAAACTGAAATAGAGGTCTTCAATGAGGTGTTATGTGGATAATATAACCCGACAACGATTTCAGTCTAATAAGGTGCCAGAGAAAGAGAGGGACTATTGGTATGAAAAGTTGCGGCCTTAAAGAGAAAAAAAATATCTAAGTAAGTAAATGTACCTAACAGAGGCATGGATATCAAGGAATCTAATTAAAACAATTGAATTTCGTTTCGGAATTAAGCTTTACACAAACAGGCCGTAACAATCACATAGTGTGAGTTACCTTTACTTTACAGAATCAATGTTTACTCAGTTACGTCACAGCCTGATGGACAAAGTGAACAGCAGCATTAAATTAGTGGTAATAGCAAACGGAAGGAAAATAACGTTTGCATGTAACAAGTGGTAACAGACAACAGAAGGGTAGAAAAAATAGGGACTAATAATCAATATTCTCACACAAGATAACATTATATAAAATGGTGGGAAGGGAAAAATTGTTAAAAAACAAACGTGACCATTTGAAAGAAAGCTATACTCCAATCACCCGGCCATAAAATAGCACAAGTATAAAGAATGGTCTGAGTGTCATTTAGCTTCATGTTACAAACACATTCTGAATAATATATTAAAGCAACTTTAAAAGCTGAATTGAATATAAAAGCAACATCAAAACAAGATAACCCTGACTCTTTGACATTTGTTTGATAAAAGAAAATGGGTTGAAGTTAGATGAACACAGTAGCACAACACTTTTGATAACAAAGATAGGAAATAGACAGGTTTCCATAATTATGATAACACAGAACTAGAACACATCAAATCAGACGGGAATGTATAATAACGTGCACTGTTAACGAGCGCATCAGTTGACAAATTTGCTAGGCCGAAGACGCATTGAACAAAAGATGAAGTCGTATCAGTACTACGATCGAGGTATTGGGTGAAACGGTTCTTGTATTCCTTGGATAGTATTATTTGAATGTGCATTTCAAATCAGTTCGACAATACTGACTAAAAGGTTACTGTCTTATCAAGTTCTTACTGAACCACACGTGAAATACTGTATCATAGTATCTCTCTATCAATATAAAGCGGATAAAATACCGATTTAATCCCGCCACATAAAGAGTAGGTATGCAATTCGAGTAGATGGTCCTCTTACTTATGATAGTCCCATTAATATTTAGAAATCCCCTTTCAGTTCATATTACTTATATAACCTAGCAGGACTCCAATTGAGGAGTTCAGCATTCCATCTACATCCAGCCCAGATCTCGAGTTATTTTCAAAACTATAAGTATTGAGGTTATGGCATAATATTTGGAAACAGATGTTTATCTACCGCCTTTGATGTTAATAGGAGTTATGGATCTATAATGGGCGGCAGGTCCTGGCGCTTCACATTAGACCATCCTCTTTATACGGGGAGAGCAGTGTTAATACATTTATCAACAAACCTATAGTACACGACGATGTTTTCTAACAAATTGAATCGTTTACCCTCATCAGAAAAGCAAAACATAAACTCAGCATGTGTGCTCAACATTTTGTTAATTAGTGTTTAACGGTTGGACGAGGTGTTTTTATGATACCTTAGGTTTATAATTACGTTATAGCCAATAGATGTGGTTAGGAGCTGAGAGGTAAGAGTGGTGTATCTATCAGGGGAGTTCAGGCAATAGAAGGTTTAGCAGATTCACTATAACACCTACATCTCTACGTAATTATGTTAACATTCGTATATTTAGCTGGTGTTGCCAGCTATCGTGTGGTCTATATTGTCTACAACATGTTTAAGTAATGTGTCGAAAAAACAATCAAAGTCTATTATACACCGATTGCAACACCTTATCATTTGCAACAGTCTTTATGCAATAAGAAGAGAATCAATATATAGTTTCGTGATTACCAACGTGTAATTTATCTTCCATTTACTGCAGACAATTTTATCAGAGGTGATATGGTGCCACTATTTAAAATGATAATGTTTATTCATAACTTAGGGCTCATTACGTTGTTTTCTTTAATTCAATGCTCATTAACTTTCATATTCGCTGTGTACTGCGTAAACGAAATAAAACGTAAAAACGAATAGATAAAGCATACAATGGAGGCTTACGTCTAGACGTATCGCAATAGTACTCGTTTATTTGGAAGGAGTGGGTTAAAGCTTGACCAACGTGGATGACTGGACAAAGATCGATAACATGGCCTTAGTAACGTAAGACTGATATGATTAAAAACATGTACACAAACAATATATAAAAGGTCATTAAGTACAACGACAGCAACAAACAGTAATGGAATGTTATAACAATTAACAAGATACAAGAACTACAACGGTAAACACGCGTTCACACAACGGTAATCAAGTCTTCAAGAAAATGTTGACCACTAGGCATACAATGTTGAAGGCATGTGGACCTGGAACAGTTTACTGCAAGCCCTACGAGATATTGGGTCAATTCGAACCTAGCTACACATACTTAAGTGTTTATATGAACTCTTGCCCAACAACGACCTAAATATAATTTGTTTGTTTGAACAGACTTGCCAGAAATACCCTTCATTACAAAACTCACGTAAGTTTGCAGCCTTACTAGATATATACAAATTATCTTTTGAAATAACCTGATTAGTATATTAGCCATGGGTTGGGAAAGGGACAATCTGGAAGAATTGATGCTTTTTCCGCTGAATGCCGTTGACATTTAAATGCTCATCAAAATTTTAATTTGTAATCTAATAACCTGAGAAATTAGTAGTGGGTGATTTCATAAGTCCCTAATAGACGACACGATATGTCAACACAAAACTTGAAGCGAATTCAATTTTTTTTTTTTTTTACATTGTATGTAATTTGCCAAACTTTGTGAGATCAGTTTTAGCATCAATAATTGACGACTTTGTTTATTAAACAAAATCTCAAATTGATGGTTCTCTCTATTTATTTTGAAATATTTTTCGCTTAGAAAACCACCAATCGACTCACAGATCAGTATAACTTTCATAGGACATTAACTCCATGCACCTTAATAACTTCTAGAAGATATTAATAGTTGCAAAAAAATCCCCTCGCACACAAATTTTCAATGATTTCCGTTACACTATAGATACGTCATAATGACCCTTTCCTCGCCCAACAGCTCGTATGCCAAAGACATGGACATATCTAGCACTTCTACCAGTCTATCACGCCAATGTGGATGATACCGACCATGTAAAAATACACTGTTGAAGTATGGACATTATTTGTGCCCTGAAATAAGTGGATTTCTGTTTACACTGGTCAGAAACTCCAAACTAAACAACTAAATGAAAGCAGACATTTTGATTACAATAAAGAGAAAACAGTTTCACTCTCATAATTAAATAAATTCTTAAGAAAAAATAAACAAATGATAAATTATTGATATAGAATAAACAAAAGATAATTAACAGTGTATCGTACCACAATACATGACATAAACATACAATTACAAAGTTCTTTTCGTCCAAGACTATTGGAATCACTACGATATCAGAACATACAGGTATCTTTACAATCTTGTTCCTACCTTTGAATTTTAAGGGGAAAAAACACATCAGAAAGTTTATAATACAAACAAAATAAATCATTGAACATATTCATACATCAATTATTTCGTTATCAGAAACTGCTTCGATTCAGTATGCGCAGGTGACGTCCTATGACATATTTCATTGTACCACAGAACCAAGTACATTGTAGGTCGTGTTTAAATTAACAGACAGGAACATCATGCACTAGATATAGAAAGAAAATAATTTTACAATTGAGTTGATCATAACAGGATACTTACAAATTATATTTTCAAATCTGAAATACCTGTTTACTGATTGTGTATTCAGATCAGCAGTACATCACAGTACAAATGTTTATATATGTTTATATATGTTTATATTTATGTTTGTTTCAAACAGGTAAATGATTTAGATGTATCAATCGAAGTGTTGATGTTTACCCGTCTGTTCTGTTGGTCATGTCAATTAAAACGGTTTGCACCTGAAATGGTAAGCAAGGAAACAGTTTAACTACACTTCAGAGAGTGGTTATCCTCACTTTCCCACCGCGAATAACCAGGGCTTAAATTAATTAACCTCTGATCTATTTTAAATTGTTAGCTTATTACTAAAACTGAAAATGTCCTACAGAACCCAAAGAATGTGTGCAATAGAATAGAGGTGTCGCTTTCTAAAGTTTAAAGAACACCACTAGGAAACTGAATTAAAGCTACATGTTATTGCGATGTGTGAAACCTAACGCTAAAATAATTAATGATTTGTTGACTTGGTCCTCGGTAAATTCCCATTTGTTCCCAACAGCTTGCACTGTTATATCAACCTTACATCTATAGCAAAGCGTCTACGTCCCACTCTCACATCGTACCAAAATACGAAACTGTTTTGATTGGTCAGTTGTAAGATAAGTTACTTTGCTATATTAGTCATAGCGTGCCACTCGCGCGCAATGCACGTTACCTCTAACTGACTATTAAAGCAAGTTACTCAGCTACAACAATTCAACAATTACATATACTGGTGTACCTATTAGGATTAAGGATGTTTGTAGTTTGTGTTTTTAAAATCACAAAATAGGTTGGTTGTGACCCATTCATTGTAGAAACGCTGATCACTTTATAATACAGCTTATTTGACATAGCATATATACTTAAATAAAACATTACTGCTATTAGATAATACTCTGCACTCGTTCCGTCAAATCTACAGCTGGCGGATACGAGCAGGACATATCTCACAGCCATTACTGAAACAGCTGTCACACATACGCTTGTTGTAGACGCGAAATAGTTGTTGTAGTAACACGACCGTTATAGACTCCAGCAGATCACATTCACATACACGTTTGGCACTGATCAGCACTTCCACATTGGTAACACAGTACTGGAAATCTGTGATCCACTAGACATCATGTCAACACAGAGACAGACAGTGTCCACACTGTCACCAATAACGTCAATGTCGTCACATACAGGACTCCACCTACAACACAACACCATTGTACAGGGTTTATTTAACTACAAAAATATTAATATAAATACTTCCCATACACCTCATATATCCGAAACCGATGATTTAGGATAATATCAGAAATGACACTATATAACCAAGCAAATGTTAAGATTTATGTGTGCTGATTTCAATCCATTTGCCAACCAGAAAATGAAACATGTTGCTTTACCTCCTAAAATTCCGACAAAATGACAAACAAACACGATTATGATATAAACTAAGCTTTCCGTATAAAGTAACATGAGACAGTCTGAACAGCACGGACATTGGTTCAAGTAACAGTATGTCTTTGACATATAAAAACACGTATTCAATATTAACTGAATGCCTTCGATAAAATGCATCAGTTTTATTTTCTTAACCATGTACTATTAAACATGTCGCAACTTCCAAGACAGTCTGGTCCTTTTGTCATAGCTTCACAAAGGAATTATTCCGTCTTGAGCTGAATACATGCTCCAGACCGCCCTGTGCTTGAAAAAGGGACCAGATGGTCTTGAGCTTCACGAATGGTCCAGTCCCTCTTGAAACATTACGACACGTTTAACGCATACATCGTTTGTGTATAAAGTTTGAGACATATATTAAACAGGTTCCCATATACTATTATAAAACAACTGATACCACTTGCCTGTTTCCAACCTTGATGCGGAATTAACACCACGCATACCAGCCGTGGACGACGTCGACGTCGACAAGTCCGCCGTTGTTTGTGACGTCATTTCGGCGGTGGTGTGTGACGGAAGAGATGACAAGACACCGGAATTGTTACATTTGATGTTGAGTCTGTACTGTTGGAGTTTGGTTGTTTCCTCCCTAGAAATGTGGCAGTCGTGTGGTGACTGATGGTAGGCTTGGTATAAACTGGTGAAGTTTAGGATACATTGAGGTACATGTTCCCCTACACAGTAATACATGTGTACCAATGACCTGTAAAAACAGAGGAAATCATCATCATCATCTATCATCATCATCATCATCNTCATCATCATCAGGGCAAGAGAATAAACAAGAAATATATCTAAACAACATTTCCAACATCGTTTTTCCTGTCTATTTTACGGCTGTCGTTCTACATGCTTGAATGGTCATTATTATGAGAAAACGTAAATACGAGCTACAATTACTATTGGCATGCCTTCACTCTAATAATATCACGATGATGGAATGCCAACTACAATGAACACACCCTCACGTTAACAAAGTCTGTGTGATTAATTGACAATTATCATAAACATGCCTACAATAAATACGTTGTGCATGACTGAACGACACTTACTATGTACAAACCGACACCTTTGTTTCATGTTCATCAGAGGATGTCCCTGTCTTTGTTCCAAATTAAATACACAACGCACCAAATGTCCCATGGAATTACTAGGACCCTAACGCAAAACCCCTGTATCTGATCAATAAGGTTAGTGCAATCACCATCGTTTATTGCAGTTCCTAAATAGAGTAAGTTGACATGTCATTGATAATCTTGCCACACCATTTTATTCGACGATACCACCAACAGGACTTCCACAGATCCTGGACTGACCTATCTGAAGGGGTGCAAGGATGTTACAAATACCGAGAGTATGGCTGGTCATATAAAGATACAGAGGGTATGTAATGGTATCCTGGTGAATACCATGTATTTAACGCTGTTAATACATGGTATCATAATTTCGTCAACAATTGAGAGGCTGTGACTTAACTGCCAATGTCTATAAACGTACTTGCAAATTGCTGTAACATTGTTGTCCTCGCTGATCGCTTCCTCGAACTTGACTAGAATGTCACGACATTCCCTCTGTACCTCCTCGATGTTCTGGTATACACATGACTGACAGTCCTTCGTGTCTGCAAATAAAAAATACAATTTGATCAGAAATTAACAAATATTGACCTATATCTTTACAATTCGTCAGACACATGCCCGGTTATATTTTACAAACTAATCTAGGGGTTGACAACTGTTCTTTATTTGTCATCATTGGAACCAAACTCTGTCCAACTCATTCGGATCCAAGTATTGCCTACATAATAACTCTACATAATCGTCTGACAAAGGCTTATTTGAGTTTGACAGAACGCTCTCACAATGTTGTGTCAATATCGATGGTTTATGTCGGTTTTAAGCGCTAGACAACCTATCTTGTTTATCAAGTTTCATGAATATGATAGTAACACGGAGACGATACGGGAACACGTTTGTATTGTAACATGCGGGGGAGGAGCAGGGACTTGCTAGTATTAACTAAGTATGCGACAAATCAAGAACGGGAAGAATTTCTTGATACGTGTCGGGGGAGAGGATAGTAACCACCTCTATTGTTATCCCACTCACTAACGTTACCTGGTTACATCTTACGTAACCTGGTTACATCGTTAGTAACCTGTTTACATCGTACGTAACCTGGTTACATCGTTAGGTAGGCATAAAATAGTGGATGCTCCAGAGGGGAAGGAGTCGTCGGTATAGCCGCAAGTATGGTTTATCAAATTATAAAACAACTCTGGGAATCAAACAATTACTGACTGTCGTCTAACACGACGAGCAAAAATTTCTGTTATATCGTCATAGGTGTTAGTCTTTTTAACCGTCCTGCTAAAACACCATTACATAGAATTATTACTAAATTAATACCTGAACATTACCTTGCATAGATATAATAATAAGCTAGTGAGTTGACCGATTACTTTTCTGTTTACAAACTGCATTTAAGAATGACTAATCTAGATCTCAAGAGCGTCAGATAACTTATGAACAACTTTTAAATAACCTCTTTTACTGATAATGTATCGCACACACTGCCTTTATTACAAGATTGATGAACTTCATACAGAATCGATGAACGGTACAAAACCTTATAAAAAGGTTTTGTGTTTAGCATAAATAGTATTTATTATTTACCAAGAAAAAATATATAAAACGTGATTACTTCACACAGTTATTATTGAAAATACATTGCAAACAGATTATATTTCTATATCAATTATGTCATTGAAATATCCTGTTTTAACATTTTACATTTCTATAGAACCGAACACACGACAAGCGGTTTGTGCCGTGTTTGCCCCAGCTGATAATTGAATACTATATCTTTAAATTTACTCTGTGGCGCTAAGGTAACAATTTCCGATTTAATAGGCTTTTTTTGCGGTTATAGAAAATATAGGTGGAAAACTGGTAGACTATAGTTAATGCGTTCCGGGACGACCCTAACGGCAGTGATCCTTTCACATGTTGACAGTCATATGCATAGCACGGTGCGTCATACAAAAACATTTAAAACGTAATTCTGAAATGTCAAACGTAATGTTTATAGACTTCCCAAAAGTCACAATAACACCACTAATGGTATAAACAAATCCTTCCACATAATGGATAGGTTTAACCTGACGACGATCAAACAGCGGTGGGTGATAATGCTATTGAGGCAAGGCAAACCCGGGTGATGTGTCAAATAAACAGTGACACAGTCAACATGTTGTTACAACACTGACCTGATGAAAGAACGTCACTAAACAGTTAATGATGATGACAAACTGGAGAACAATGGTAGACATTTTTAGTTTACTGACTTGCTACTCAATATAAACTGAGCTTCATATATCCTTATCTGCGGTGTGTATGTTGATCGTCACTCTGTATTGTGTACTGCGCGGTTTACCTGTATATTTTTAATTTGATTATACGACCATATCGTCAAAGAATGTGTTAATTGGGCGGGAATCTATTGCTCACCAGCGATGCATCTGTGTTACATCACAAGACATCGTTATATGTGTGCATATAGTAAGGTCATCTCCCTGTCTATGAGACAGGTGAGACAAAGCTCCCGACAGTGTAACGCCCTAAACGTACCTTATTGTATTGTGATTAGAGAACAACACAACAACATTACGTAGGTACATAAATCTCCATAAACACACACATATGGCATATTTCTACAGTTTTATAATACACACGGGATAGCTGGCTACACAATAGGAACCGGTTACACGTCTTTATCTAAGGTAGATAATAAAACAGTTTAGATATCCGCCGCGGCATCATATAGATTTAACATGAACTGTTGGGATACAAAACTACATGTAGTTGAAAAAACAAGTACATGTAAACAAACAAAATCGGTCGTAAATATTCAACACCCCATAGAAGCCAGTACAACTACATTGTGTACATCGGGCAAGCTAATAAAATTTTACCATAAAGTGAATAAAAATTTAATGAAATATTGATGACAGTACAGAAGGTTTTAATAGCGCTAAGGAGTGAGACAAGTCCAACAACCTTGGTGCTGAAGGAGCATTACGTGTATTGATTGAGCGGAACCACGAGGGAGCCCAGCGTCGTAATAGTTTTCCTATCAAAGTTTAATGTGTATCAGCACTTCCCTATTACACATCAAGTACAGCAAAATAATTGCATTTATGTCGGTTTTAGCATCCTGGGAAGGACGGACCAGCTGACTAGTATGGAGAGAGCACGTGTGTTGTCTCCCGGGAACTGAAAATCAGACACAACCTCACAGTAGCTCCATGGAAATGTGAAAGTCAACTGCATCTATCCCTTTGAGATCGTATTCATAACAACAATATAAAAATCTCTACTTATACACTTTATTGTTATCAGGATGCAAAGTATTTCAGTACTAATGCAGAACGTGTATGCATGCCTTTTTATTAGTGATAACATACGACAATAGCTGCATTACTAGCAATGATAACAGATGATTGGTGTAATCAGAAGGTACACGCGAAATAACAGATGATTGAATAGATGTTTATGAAACATAACGCTTTCTGCCGGAGATAAAGATGAGAACGGATTTGTTTGAAAATTACCTGTCAAGGAAAAGATATAAGGATGTGTGTTTATAAAAACTACACTTTCTGTCGAAAGTAATGATGATTTGATGGTTTTATTGAAAGTGCAAATTTCTATCGTAATGAAAGATTCATATAAGAATAGGTCAATGATGGACATAAAAGTCTTGTATTTTATTTGAATTCCTCAGCATAAAATATACAAAGTTAACTACACGAAATAATGTAGAATAATATAAATCCTTGAGTTTACAAAGTCTACGACTGGGCACACTGTGGTAAAACATTGCCATCACAATAAAAACGGTTCAGATACTAATTTAGTATCTTCTTCAGAATGTCAATGTTTTTGCGAGGTATGGACCTATCTAATGAGACATCTGTACGAGGAAGAGTTAGAATACGATAACAAGCATCCTACCCGTCATTCCAGCTGCACACAGTAAATCCTAATCTTATATCAGTTCGAGTGAGTTGTTCACAACAAAACAGCTTTACCTTTCTCAGAGATCATATCATCAATGGCAAAAGTGAAACGTGAAAACCAGATACTTTTGGAATATGTAGACATCCTTGTGTTGAGCTGTGTTTGTTCTATGTTTGATTTTTTTATACAACATTTACATGTAATATCTCCATGTCTAGATATTCGATAACAATCAGATGTATTAAGATATCCACAGGAGGACGAGTGTATCCTTGATGTAAAATAGCATCACACACTGCATGCTGATCTGAGGAGGTGAAAGACATGCACTCTGATATTCGCTGCATACGAGTCTTTACAAATACGTTGATAAACATCGTTGGTATCTTCAATGTGTATACCTACCACTAAGTATTATTGAAAAAGTCAGACGGTAATTTGTCATAAAATTTAAAGAATGGCCACACACTGCGAGACGATGTTTAATACACCTTAACATGTTCTGTACACATACAACCTTATACGACCCATCACCACAAAATACTCTCCGTAATAACATTTATACATCTATGCATGTGCATTGAAGACATCGTTCATTTATCGGTTTTCATGCAGCTTCAGTGACAGTTCGTGATAATTTTAATCCCAGCAATGCCTTATCTATTGTAACAGACGAAAAAAACTCGATATCAAAATTGAACTGGTTATCAGGATGAAACCCCTTTTTTGTTGTGTGTCATCATGGAGATAGATAAAACAGAAACGACCTGTGGATATACATAGAGAGTAGCATTGTAAAACAAAAACATTCGTTTTCGTTTCGTTTCTTTATTTTGTTTCAAATACCGAATTAAAAGTGCAAAGAGAGTAATACCAGTGGCATGTTCTTTTAAGCGGAACAACAGGTTTGTCCGTTGTTAAATGTGATTTTTCGGGTATAAGTACTGACGGAACTGCAAATGTTTATGCAGGCCTTGCATGGCTTTGTCAAGGCACGTCTGAAAACATCATCAGATTACAAGGTCCGGCCTTATTTTATAAACGAACAATTCTGGTACAACCGGTCTAACCGTTTGGATAGCAATAAACGGTAGCGGCCCAGGTGCTCCGGAAGGGAACACATCTGTTGCTTTATCTATGAACCCCGCCATGTAAAGTGACACAGACATAACATGCCTACTGAAGCTTGATGTGAAATGATTCGAATAACATGTAGAAAGAAGCGAATATAATGAAGCAGATTTCAATGTATTATATGTATATCGGTAGTAAATGCGCGATATAATCAAACCATTTTTCTTAAACATCAATATGAAACATCACTCGATATTTCTTTTTTATGGCTTGAATAATGTTATGATGCTGATATTCAGTCTGTTGATTTCTATCGTAATGCAGATTAAAAGATTAAGTAGAACAGATCACTCCTTATCATCATTGCCAATGCTAGTTCCCTGTCATTACCAACGGCGCATACAAAATGACAAAGCTCCGTAACTCACGCCGACCCAGTGAACGTCTGTCTGTAATACCGCTTATTGATAATATCACATGAATATTAGGGTTTGTCTGGCAGCGCAGGAACCGTCCTCTGAGAGAC